CAACGGCTACAATACACGTTACTTCTCGATCGAAGCCCCTTTGGACCAACCTGGGCGAGTTGGGACAGTGGCACTTCGATGCCTCTAAGTTGCAAGGGATAGTGATCTCCAAGCGGTATTCGCCGTGAGACAGAAAAGACAACGTTTTCCTGGATTGCTACTGATTTTGTCAGGAATCAAGTCAAAACATCGGTGATTTTATTACGCATTTGACTATCGCCATCCAGAGCTGTCGGTATAAAGGGGTCGAGGCAGACAAATTCAGGCATACGATGCTTGCTCAACCATTGATCGTTGGTTTGCGGGATGGTAAAGGTCGTGAAAATCTCTTACCGGAGGAGAGGGATTTCTCATCGGAGAAGGCGTGCGATGCCGTCCATCACTAAGAGTTCGTATACCAAAGCCTTAATCAGCTGAATCAGCCACTGGAGTGATGCCCTTCCTAGAACTTGGGTTGGAGGCCCCCCTGATGAACACTGTCAGTTTTTCACCTCAACAGCGGCCATCAGCTCCTTATAGACCCCTACCATTCTGCTACCGTTGTCGTCTGCACCACAAACCTTGGCCAGATTGTAGACATCAGAAGACAGTTTACCAGTTTTGCAATAAAATAGGCTACATCTGACCAGTAGGTTTCTCCAAAAGACGGGCAGACGCTAACTCGACCTCCGCTATCATAATCCAGCTGGGGAAGGCAAGACGATATTTCGAGTGTTTCCGTCCGACACGCCTCTTAAGTCGCCATATACTACCGTCGTCAGTGCCTACACTCCCCCAATGACCAACTCGGGCGATGTGAGGAACAAGTTCTACGTAGATTTCCATACCCTTCTGACTCTGTGCGAAGGTGAACAAGTTGATTGTCATTGGTGCCTTCAGTGTCCCCATGGACTCCGGAGGTTGCAACAGTACTTGACTCCTTTTTAAAACCTGCGTAGAACACCGCCTCCTCCTGGCTGGCAGCTTCTTTCGCCTTCCGATGCGGTAAAAGGTAACTTGGATGCATCCCAAATCGCAGTTCTGGCAGCTCCTGGACTACGTTCTCGTCTGGAGGCAAATCGACACGACCTGCTGGTAATCAGGGCGATCAACGATTCTGGCGGCTAGACGGATCGCCTCCTCGTCATTTCCAAGATGAGATTCCAACTGCGACCTCATTGGAGACCACAGCGTAGGCGATTATTAGGCAAATTAAATACCATTTTGTCGAAATTGGCTGTTCACTGCTTCGATTCCAGCGATCAATTGGCCCAGCCACTGGAAGACCTGTAGGCTCCGGATGATAATCCCACCGTGAAGACACGGCGATGCCAGTTGCAAAACGCCATCCACTCCACTTTCTTGGACGTCCTCCGTCCAACACGTCGTCAAAACCAGGAGTGGTTTGACGACAACGACGCAACCTGCTTGCCGAAAAGGACCGTCTACACAAAAGTCTGCATCGACCGCCCTACAGACGCCTTCCTCAGACGCCGCCGCCTTGTGTAACAATGGCTGCGGGAGATGCGAAATGTGTGGGTGGATCGCAGGACCGAGGAAATCAACGGGTATGCGGACCGCAGTGCAACAAATAACTTCTCCCCCTTACACCAAGGAAGTCTGCGGCTCTGGCATCAAAAGAATCGCACTCCTGCTCAGCTTCGGTGAAACAACCTCCCTTACGGAAAAACCTCAGATGCCGGAGTCGTGGGCCGAACACTTCAGAATCGGCTTCAACCAACCAACCACGATCTCCGACGCCGTCATTGACAAGCTCCCCTCAAGTGGAAACGAATAATGCCCTGGTTCTCCCGCCTTCTTTCACAGAAACAATCTGAGCCGTGCAATAACTCTCGAGCTGGAAAGCACTGGAATCCGACGCGATCCCGGTCGAAGTCTGCAAGCATGACGGCCACCGAACAATTGACGAACTTACGATGATATTCCAGGATATGTGGGGCCACTGACAAGTCCCCCCCCAGGGCTTTAAGGATGCGATCATAGTCTGTCTCTACAGGAGGAATTAAGACCGGCAACTCTGTGAAAGTCATAGAGGAATCTCGCTGCTGAACATTGACAGGAATCATTTCCCGTCGTGGGATATAGACTTCTTCCGGAAAGCCAGTGTGACTTCCGATTATACCATGTAACAACCGACATTATCTTCGCCGCGCGCCAACTGCAAGAGGATTTTCAAAAAATTCCTCAACCCTTATATTGCCTTCTACACGGTGAATCGTAATGGATTGAAAAATCATACAGAAATTCGGCTGTCCTCGGCAATTCACGTACACTGTGCGTCAGCTCAACGACGGGATAATGGCGCGCGTCACGGACAATGAGACAGTCTCAGAGGCATTCGCAGCGACCGATGGAGTGAAGCAAAGATACGTACTCGCTCACGCCCTCTCGGCCATGCTGATGGATCGTCATGAGCGTCCTGGCATCGGTATCGTCTACAGAAGCGATGGACAGCTTCCCAAGACCCAGCGCATGCAGGTCCCAAAGCGTCTCTCCACAAATACTGTTCACGGCCTGCTCTTCGCGGGTGACTGCACGCCCAACACCATGACAGAACCTGATCTGCAGCGGAACATGAAAATCCTCGCCCCCGGCTGTGTAGAATTCGGACTGACCATCCAAACGGGCAAAACGGTGGTCATGAACAAGCCGTTGTCCAACACTAAATACGGCAAGGTTTGAACCTGCAGCCACACCTTAGTGATAGCATATGGTAACATTTCTAAAAGTTCCAGCAGATGCGAGTATGCTGACTTTGTAAATATCATGTATTTGCATCTTCCTTACTATTTTAATCCAGCGAGTGACTACGCCACGTGGGTAGGAGCTTTTATACGCCAACCACGGTTACTTCAAGTATAAGTTCACATGCGCTTCCCTATGCAAGCTGCGAGCCCTGCTTGAGCCCTCTTCATTATCCCAATCCACTGAGTGGTCAAGTAGACTTGCTAGTGGAATTGTTCGGACGGTGTGGAACTCCGTCGGTTCAACTGCAGTGGCCATGTACTGCGAATTGCCACGCGGTCCCCTCCGTGGCCTTCCAGTTGTGATTTCGCCCCGTATCCTCTTAATCCAGCGAGTAGCGGTTCCCTGCGCTTGTCTCGGTTAAGTTAGGTATGTTAACTAAAATTGTTTTAGTAAGCTAACCATATGGTATCAATCAAGTGGGGCTGCAGAACCAAACCTCGTCCTAGATACAACGACCCCCACATCACTGTCAAAGGCACCAACCTCAAAACAGTAGACACATTCACCTACTTAGGCAGTATATTATCGTGGAACACCAAAATTGACGATAATGTTGCGCACCGGATCCCCAAATCCAAAAAGGCCTTCGGTCGGCTGTAGGCCTCTGTTTGCAATCGCCACGGTCCCGATCTCAACATGAAACTGAGGATGTACAAAACTGTCATCGTAGTAACAGTGCGGAGACCTGGACAGTTTACGAGAAATAAGCGGACCAGGACACGTGTGGCACGCCTTGTCGAGTTCTGTTTGTCATTAACCCCGTACCTACCTTTGGTCGTCAGGACCTTTTCTTGCCACCGGGGCAAGGTGGGTGTGGGAAGTGAGAGTCAGGTAGATGCCGCACAAGTTCGCTTCACTATAAGCGAATTCACCGGCAAGACAATCCTGCGCCCATCTCATTGGGCAGTGGTGACCACCTTCGTTTGCTGTGGTTGCTTTCATAACGTAGGACGACCACCGCATAAGTTTCTTTGCGGTTAACTGACGTGTGCGGTGCTCCACTAGCGTTTCGATCTAAGGGGACATCTGAAAAGGGTAACGTTCTGACCGACTTCATTTCCAAGAAGAAACTCTGTTTTAGAGTGCTTCCAGTGAATCATTTTCTATGGCAACAAATGTGTCATTTACCTGACGCGGCAGAATCTAGAACTAATCAATCGAAGAACCTTAGGCTGAAGGTTTTATAAAGTGCCTTTGGCGTGAAAACCATGGAGTGATGACCTGATAGAAGTTACCTTCAGTTGTTAGCAATACTCTAGGACGAATTCAAAACGAACAGCTCACAGCTAGTGGAAAATTATTGCGTCGAATTGGCAGACATGAAGATCTGGAGCAGGAACTTTCGAAACCAGTGGAGGCAATGCGGCGGGCACACAAAACTGAGATTCTGAAGACAGACGCCGCCTACGACCACTCTCCGCAAAATATACCCGCGATGTCAGCGCACACTCCCTGCCCGTCTCCAAAAAGTATCGCCAAGGCGACCGCTCTCACATGGCCCTCGATGTGATCGCTGTTTGTCCTTGTTCGACATAGCATTCATCGTCATCATGAGACGGAGGACAACTGCCAGCAATGCCAACAGGGTGCTCACATATCCATAATGTGGTCACAACATTTAGTTACGCATTGACCCCCTCCCCTAGGCATCAGTGCATCGATCACTGAACGTACGGAGAACTGTTATCGGTAGGACAAATGTGTGTAGCCTGGACTGTGCAAGGCGAAGGAGAGGTTCCTGTCTTACGGGATCGGTGGGAAGGGGGGTTTTCAGGGTGGGGTAAACGGGGAACCCATCAAGGATTTAGAAAAAAAAGTAAAAAAAGAGGTTTAGAGAGAAAATAATAAAGTTTGTTTGAGGTGAAAATGTGCCGAAAATTCAAAACCGAAGCCGTAACCAATGGGAACAATATACCCAAGGCCAAGGCCATTCGGCTGAAGGTGCCCCAGACAATACTGCCACTGATGATGAATCCTGGTCAAATGCCAACGACAAGTAGGGCGGTGGAAAATGAACCCGAAGAACGGTAAGTATGAATGCAAAATACGGAGGACGGAAGCCGTATTTATTAATTTGTTCAATAATTACCAAACGTTTCCCACTTATAGAAGGGTGACAGCAAAGAAGAAACGTAAGGCCGCTCCGCAAGCTAATAATGCCATCGGAGATTGAACAGATCCTGGATATTATCCAGTCCCCATATTTAGTGCAATAGTTACAAGCTAAACGAGTCATGGCGACAGAAGCCAGATGTCGCTGTCGTAAACCGATGCCGTTGCGAATATTGCGTCAACACACAGACGGGTTTGCCTTCAAGTACACGAAAATATTAATATAATGCATTGCCTAGGTGTAACAAATGTGGTACCAAAAGGGCACTGAGAACTGGTTCGGTGTGTAAGGATAGTCGCCTGACTTCATCGAAGGTCCCATGTGGCTGAGGCCTTTCCAGTCTCAGAAGAGCACTCGGAAACCGAGATATGTAGCAGCTGACCGGAAAGGTAAGCAGTGAGATGTTAATGATGTTGTACACATAGTGCAATAATAGCAGCCAGTGGAATAACAGCCGGGAGAACAACTGAACGGCCAGGCAATGGACATTTTGGCCACTGAAAACTGGTACAACGGAAACAGTTTGTAATTCTTTCATATTCCGCACTGAAATAGTGAATTCCTTACTATACCTCTCAACCTTTTTTTCCCTTTTGTCCCATAACCCCAGCCGAAAATGCGCCAACGGGGATTGAAATCGTAGTATTTGAAGGGATTGATAGAAAACCTATGAACACCCTAACTTCCGATCATGACCAATCCGAAGGCTACTTCGTAAGTACGCTGACCGGCAAACCGATGACTGATGTACGTATAACAGGAAAGCCAAACCTACTGGCCACCGCAAGGCGACCAAACCGCCCAACCACACGGGCGTACGAAATCGACCGAAGCGCAAGAGGAAAGCGAGCGAAAGAGACCACAAAGAAACCCCGAGGGCCGGGTGGATACCTAAGCCCATGAAAGTGCAAGGAAAGGCCAAACCCCTATGGTTGGGTAACTGTTCCAAGCAGGCTGCGGTTGGGTGTGGGGAGGGGAAGTGAGCCGTACGGCAGGCAAAGAAAGCAAACGGCAAGCGGCCTTAGGAGACCGCACAGGAAGCCAGCAACCGGGTTAAACGCCTGTACGGCCAAGCCATGAAGGGCTAGTGCAGCCCCTGAAGTATGTAGAAAGGGCAGGTGCACTGGCGGGGCAGACCTGCACCGATGAAGTGCACCCAACGCCTACGCGCCTAGCCAACTCACGCGGTAACCGCATGGAACGCGGTATGGGAGGCCCCCCCCGCCATCGAATACAACGGGGCTGTTTCTTAAAAAGGGGGGGGGGGTGTAGGGTAGCGATCTGTTAACACGACTGAAGCAGCTAGCAATTAGAAGGATAATGGAAAACGTGTTGAATCGCAATTCGCAAAGGTTAAGTCTTTCGCCTTTTACTAAAGGTTTCCGTGTGGGGGGTGCAATGCAATGAGCCCATATAGACAGTCTTGCAGCGCCTCGTTCTCGGGGCGGTTAGAGTGAAGGAGAAATTCATCCTGACAGAGCCTCTACGCCATATCATGCAAACGTAGCTGGAGTACCCAGTCGTAGTAATGTAGCAAGCGCGCTAAGTGGCCGATGAGCGGGAATGTGAACGTGAGCAATAACATGAAGGAATTTACAGCATAACCGCCCTTCCTTCGTCCAATTGGCAGCTGTAAGTAAATGCGGGAGGTATGGCAATGGCACCACAGCAGAAGACAAGGTACCCCAAAGCGAGGTCGAATACATTACACTCGCGCGGCCGACACGCCTGAAATATGTAACTTAATAAAGCACGCCTACTGATAAGAAGCAAGTACGTCAACAATGTTGACTCATAATCCCAGGCTACTCAGAATTGTCTCGCCCTGTTTTATCAATCGTTGTCAAGCTCCCCTGGCATGCCGTACCTCTCCAAATACTGTGTGCTCGCCTATCTTCGATTGTTCTGACTTTCTTTTGGATTGGGAACTTGGGGGATGTGGGTATAGTGAAGTGAGGTAGAGGTAACGCAGGTGTTTTCCATTAATTTCACACACTCAGGAGCAGTCATCGTTGCTGGAGGCGCCTGAACTATGAGCCAATGTGGTTAGGTTTCTCACACCCGGTAACATTGCGCTGGGTACAATTCACACAAACTGAGAAAATTAAAAGTTAGATTATTCACCAGTTCTGCCTATGCATTCTTGCATTACGCAAAGTTTGTGGAAAATGCGAGGAAATAGTTTTCTTCCGTCAAAGTAGCTTGCCTTCAGAAGGGAAAACTACTGGTCGAGTGGAAAACCTCGTCATCGAACTCTCAGAAGGAATTGCTGTATTACAAACGCAGAGAGAGCATCTGTCAAACCCAAGAGGGTCTGCTTTAGGTTTTGACATCGTTTTGACAGTGTCGTTTTTGGACAACTGGTCTTCTAGTGGCTGTATAGGTTCCAGAAACGGGACCACAGACCACAGTGCTTTGAAGCAAACACAAGCGGATTTCGACTAAAAGACCAGTTAACCGCTTACATATATCAGCTTATCCTGCCCAAAAAAACTTTCAATAATTACTCCCTGTAATATGACTATTGAAAAGAGCGGGGCAGGTGAAACTGATTGTGGATGTCCATTTGTACCACATTTTTCTTGACACAAAACTGCAAAGAGATCATAAATAAATAGGACAAGAAGGATCGCTGCTAACTTCCTCACAGTAAAAAAACGTCCGCGCAAGCTTTCAGTCCCCCGAGTATACCACAGCACTCGTGATGCAAGTGTAATGGGCTTAGGTAGTCAACAAACTGATTATATAAACAAGATGCTCTTTTCGGAACAGATAGTCGACCACCATTAAGACCTAAACTCTTTCATGTATTCGTTCATTGCATGGGTAATTTGGTTCATCAGGCAATGATCTTTCTCGACAGTAACGTGTCAAAAAAACCATATCTAACATAGAAGGGCAAATCGTACTGCCGTCGAAAGTCCTGCAGTCCCTGTAATGGTGTATGGACAAAATTATGTGTCCGAACTTCAGGTCATTAAATTATCACATGTAATTTTTTAACAAAATTAAATTTGAGGAGTTTAAATAAGGGAATGTTTGATAGCTAGTCGCATGCAAGTCCTTATCATTTAAGACTTTCGGCACAATCGATGCAAGCTAATTGAGAGAGTTATTGAGCATACAATTATGACCCGGTTTCCAGAGTTGAGTCGCTCCCTAAATACCTCACTTTTTCAGAATTTGATTGCTTTCCCCAGCCCATCAGAAAACTGGAAAATTTTGGCGGCAAAGATGCTCGCGGAACTTTTCTGCCAAAGAAGGAGTAACCGCCGTCGCAACACGAGCTAAGCGCCTCGAAGACGTGCTCGCAATCTTGCATATTATTTAATATGGACCACTTCCTTAATTTGACATTTATCAGAGCTACGGGGAAAGATCACCTTTCGTTGGGTCCTGGTTGGTTTCGCGCCGAGGATGTTGTAGTAAGCCTACTCCGGCGCCTGCTGCGACACGTTTCACGCAGGTACTTTTGTCACCCACTTGACGAGATCGAGGGTTAGGGATGCTACGCGTATAGTCCCTCCTATTACCCAATGAGGAGAAACAACGGGCTTTAGTGGGGGCTTGGAGATTATTTATGACGACTAAAAGAAGGGTTGGAGTTCAGGCGGAATCGTGAACACAAAGGTGTCCTATGGCAGGGACAAGCTGGTTTGGAGGCGAGCCTGATCGGGTTCGGGCAGTTGAGGCGATGAAGGAGCGATGATGGCGTCCAGAATGCGTCCTCCGGCCCAGGGTTGCCGGACATCAATTGTCTTCGGTATTCATAGGGCCTTCAGTCGATGCGGGTTAGGCTTAATGAATAGGCCAATTGGCAAGAGTAAGCATGACAATGAAGGGTAGGATAACACGGAGGATAACACGGTCCCGATAGGATTAAAGTTTGGAGGTGGCTAGCGCGGCGTCCTGGTGCCGGTGGATAATCGGCAAGGCGCTAGGAATCTATCATTACTATGCCAAAATAGGAAAACCTGTGACTATATCCCCACACTCGTGCGCTTGCTCCAGTGACAGTCTAGTTCTTCACCAATCACAGCTTCCTAATTGGGTCGATTTTCGTCAAGGTGACGCAAACGCCCCCGCTCAAAGCGTGCCAATCTTTGGCCCGGTGGCAGACGCCTGCCCTTGAGACGCCGGACGTGTGCCCTCCCCCGGCTGTCAACTTGCCCCAATCCCCTCGTCATTCCTTCTGTACAGGATACAATTCAGTTTCAACTGGCTTCCAGCTCCTCCTCTTTCTATTCGGGACGAGTCCCGAAAGTCGTGGTGGATAGGGTGTGCCCATGACTCAAGCTGCCGCGTCAATTTCTTACAACAGAGCCATACTTCCGCACTACTGCTAAACGAGCAGAAACCTCTGCAAGTTCTCCTTCTCTTGTAAACTAGACGTGAAAATTTGTTTCACGAGTTTTTAAACAGCCTTTCACTGGGAGAACAAGTAATAATAGGGCAAATACAATTAAATATCAAAGGCCTACAGTGCCCCCGATGGGGCCATAACAGTTTTGACGCCAGATACTAAATGCGATGTCTGTGGTAAAGTTACTAAGATCAGTAGAGGCAAATTAAATTACCCGAGGGGAATCCCTCTGATAGTTCTCTATTACGGATTCCCAAAGGAGCCCACACTAGTGCATTACAGTCTGCTGTTTGTAGAGGGCTTTCGCGGGAGATTGGCAATATCGTCAGAGGCTGGCAGTTATAATGAAAATTACCTGCAGCCCATGACAGAAGCGCAGAAGAAAAACCTGAAAGGGAACCCCGAGGACCTTCATAATGAAACCCCTGAATCCGACGACGAACTCGACGTCCAGCAGATCTTCAGTATGGGACGATTGGTTAATAACATATTCGGTACTGAAGACTGTCCTGGGGTATGAACAGTAAGCCGACCTCTTTTTACCTCTAATGTTTGACCTGCGGAAGAACTACCTCAAAATGTTTTTCGGCTGCATTATTCTTTCATTAGTTCCGATGAAAAAAAGTTGACTGCCAGTGGAAGTGCGAGGGCGCCGAAGATGTATAGGAAGGCTTTGGAGGTTGAGGAGGAATGATTGTGAAAAATGGGTATTCGCTCCTTTGGAACCAACGAGGGCGAATGACGGTATAGATACTGACTTACTTGGGACTCAACCAGTTTTAGATTCGGGTTCAGAGAGTGGAGTGCACACGAGCCAGAACACTTCCAGGAAGCCTGTTAAACGACGTGAAAATCATGCAACATCAAAGTCGTGTATGCGAAAAATGAGTCTAGTACTAACTAGAACTAATACCATGTTTAGCAAAGTGATCAACATAACCAGTGCATAGAAGAAAGTTGAAGTCAGCCATAGTCCAATAAAGCGCCCGATATGGTCATTATTTCTCAGGAATTTCCCCAGTGAGCGTGTGATTAACTGCCATTCTTGTACTTCAAGGACCTAAGCCTCAGCGGGGAGTGGGACCCCGCGTCAGGCTGTAAAGAAGCAAAAGAGTATCAGTAAGATGAGAAGGTGGATAGTTCGACGACCGACTCTTAACCGGACATCTCTGCACCATAGGTTCGATGGCGCAATCACTGGAGAACTACGTGCAAACACCCAGAGCGCTAAATATCCAGCATATACTCCAAACATCAATAGTGGTGAAAATGCGATTCCCGGGTGGCATATCAAAAGAAGAGGAGGCGTTCACCGGGAGAGGTGTATTTGAGGTCTGACGTTTCGGGTAGTCGTTTCTTCTACCCATCTTCAGAGACTGAGCAGTCGTGCACACAGCTATCCTTTTATGGCGCACTTTGTTCAAAGCCTGGCCCATCAATGCCGCCTGCGTGGCTGCATCCGACCCGCATGTCACTCTGACCTGAATTCCGCCCATCTTCGTCGGCCGCGGTGATAATTGGCGGCCCCGATTGTCCCGCGCCGTGACTGTCCCCCGTCAAGAATGTCCGTAAAACCAGATAAGGGGGAGGTAAATTGATGTGGCGGTTGACAGAGCAGTCGGTAGACATCCAGGCTTCTTGCACCTGCCTTGCCGTATGATCATCTCCTCGGCCCACAATTTCAACGGCGTCAAAGGTGAAGACGTGTCCCATTTGGGCGGCATGGGTTGCTACCTCCGACTTTGGGTCCAACCTTCGCACGGCCAACTTATGCTCGTGCATGCGTGTTTGCAGCCGTCGGCCGGTTTCCCCAACGTAGTTACGCATTCCGCAGCTGCACTGAAGTCGGTAGACAACAGCCGACATCTCCTGTTTAGGGATCGGGTCTTTTGGCCGCATCACTTGCCGGCGGATTGTTGAGTCGGGCCTGTGGGCAACGCCTATTCCGAGCGGCGCGAGGGATCTGGCTACGGCTTCGAAGACCCCTTTCATGTATGGAATGCTCCGCCACGATTTTGGCTGAATAGGTTCATCATTCCGCTTCCTTGGTTGCTTTCGGCTCCGTTCAACGAATGTTCGCGGATAGCCGTTGGCTCTGAAGAGTTCTTGCAGGAGCTTCATCTCGTCCAGTTTGGCGACTGGAGTGCTGCAATGAGTTTCCACCCGTCGGTATAGTGTGCGCACACAGCTTCGTTTGTGTTGCAGTGGGTGGTTGCTGTTGTAACTGAGCATTTGCAGCGTGTTTGTCGGTTTTCTGTAGACTGAAGTCGCCAGTTTACCGTCTGGTTGGCGGCAGATGAGAACATCCAAAAATGAAAGTTTGCTCTCCACTTCTTCTTCCATCGTGAACTGTAGGTCGGGGGTGATTGAGTTCAATAGTTCTTCATAGTAGCTAATTTTATCCTGATCGATGAGTACGAAGGTATCATCAACGTAGCGCACCCAAAACTTGGGTTTGTATTCCCCGAACAGTCGTTTCTCGAGTTTTTGCAGAACGGCCTCGGCAATGAGTCCGGAGATTGGTGAACCCATCGGAGTGCCCTTAATTTGCTCATAGGTGATCCCCTCGAAGGTAAAAAATGTCTTGAGGCAGTGCCCCATTAGTTCTATGAGATCCTGAGCTGTGGGCTGGCCATCGCCCTCGTCGTAATTCTGACGAAGCTGGTCACTGAGCGTCTCGACCGCAAGGGCCTGTGGTATGGACGTGAAGAGTGAGACGACGTCAAATGACACCATCCTCTCATTCGGTTCGATCGTGACCGCCCTTATTTTGTCGAGGAATTGCTCTGCTGAGTTTACGGTTGTTTCTGAGCCCGCGGTTAGGAATCCTAGCTTCTGAAACAGCCAATTTGCGAGCCCGTACGTAGGTGTGCCTCGGAGTGAGACGATTGGTCGGAGGGGAACATCTGGCTTGTGTACCTTTGGAAGACCGTAGAATCTCGCCATCGGTTTTTCTGTGGGCTTTGCCATATACCATTCTTTGACGGTGATGACTTTTTCCTTCTTTAGTCGAGACAGAACCCTGTTAACCCTCGTCAGTAGGGACTTTAGACTGGCGGCGTCGCTGACCATGTAGGACTCCCGGTCGTTGAGCAGCATGAGCGCTTTGTTTCGGTAATCCACCTTGTCAAGGATAACGGTTGATCGACCTTTGTCAGCAGGCAGAATAACTATCTCGGTGTCCGCTTTCAACTCCCTTAGGGCCTTTTGTTCATCTCTTAGCAGCGAATGGGTTTTTCGGTGTGACATGAGAAGTGAAGATACTCGATGTCGGAGGAGGTCTTTTGTCTCGTCTGTGGCGCCGGTTTGACGTAGCACAGATTCGAAAGAAGCAATGAATGTGACCGGGTCGGCGTCAGTTGTGTTAAAACCCGATCCATGTTGTAGAACTTTTGTTTGGGCCACAGTAAGATTTTTCGACGCGAGGTTGTGTACTAACGTTTGTTCAGGTTCCCGGGATTGTGCGGTCTGCAGGGCCATGAACTTTACTGATAAATCAGCATCCCTGTTAGCACGTTTCTTTCGTCCCAATGATATTAAGGTGTTCTCCAATGTAATAGCGGTCGATTCACCACAACGGCGTGTAACAAGCATCCTGAAGTTGTCGGCATTGCGTGCGTATTTCCTTAGTCGTAGGTGGCAATCTTTTATGAGCACCCTTGTCATTCGCCGGCATTGACGGAACATCGTTTGTTTAGGCAGTTCCGTGTTGACGGGAGCCAACAACAGTTGCGGCTAGCATACCAGATTTTCGGTCACCCATCCAATTTAGGCGGAGAAGGAGGAGGATGCGGAGTAAAAAGACGTCAGAAAGGCACAGAAATCCGGCGATGATCGCGCGGCTTGTTCCAGACCCGCGCGTACACTTAAACTGGGGTTAGTTGACATCAGTAACTAAGCGTCTCACGTGAGACCCACCCAGAATCAAATTGGTTAATCGACAAAGCGCCTTGTAGGTTTGCGGACGTCTGTGATCATCTGTCCTCGGTTAAGAACGTGCGTATTCCTCAACCACCCGGAGATGATAATCGCGTGCTTCGCAGCGCGGCGAGTGTGTCAGCGGCGAAAGGCTTTCAAACTCTTAGGGTGCATGTGTGTTCTCTCTGAAATAATGAACTATCTTCTTTAAAGAAAGGTCCGTTCCTCAAAAACCTACTTCTCTAGTGAACGGACGTAAGGCGGTGAATATATAGACGCCACAAATCGAGTGAAAAGATCAGATGTCAACCTCGGTGTACCATGGGAATAATAGCGATACTTCCCGAGAGTATCAGGACTGGCCTCTAGAGGCTGATATAAAAACCCCCAAAAGTCGTTCAACAGACCGGCCAACACAATAAACAAGGCCAAAAACACTGCTAGGCACAATTTCTAGACGAAATGTGTAGATAGGGACAACGAGGAAAATGGGCTTAACTTGAGGAGGGACCCATGTACTCAATGACCATAGTTGAATCCGAATTTCAGCCACACATCGCCCATGATTGGAGGTATGGCTGACGAATAACGGCAAGAAACCAAAAATAGGCACCAGCCTCTTTTTATTTGCCGATAAAGTCTCTCAAAATGAACAAGCTCCTGAATAAGCAAACGCAAAGATTGAAGAATGATCATCTGACATAGGCGGAGCATAATCAAGCGTCTACTAACGATCCACCAGGTTAGGGAGGGGGGCTGCTGCTTTGGAAGGACAAGATAGCGCATACCTACTTTTAGCTTGGTCTGCGTATAACAGGCAATACCCAAATAAAACTAGCATCCTGACAGTAATGCGTGATCTACCATCCGTTTACAAAGTTCGTACCAATACGGGATGTAAAGGAACTGCCTATTGCTTCGGAAAATATGCCGGAAACATGCCGTACATTATCAACGAACAACAAATGACCATCGAATCTGCTGACTGCTTGCCACAACTCGATAGAGAAAGTTTGAAAAGTGCCTAATCATGGTTCCACGAAGAAAAATTTGCAATTTTAGTTATTAGAAGGGACTGAGGAAAGGATAAGCCCGTTTCATCAGCATATAATGATCTGGTAAAAGGAGGTAGTCGGAACAAGGTCATTTACTGTTTGCAACCTACAATGTCTTAGGGATCGTTTTAACTAGTAACCCATGCAGGAGGCTCATAGCTAAGCTGCGGGAAATCGGCGAAAATGAGAACCGCAAATAGCTATTTTACTTTATATCAGGAAAGTATTGAAACGGATGAATAGGGCGGGCCAAATGGAGTTCATATATATCCCGAATGGTGGTTAGTGAGGAGCCGCCGTCTGACATCGATTGCGCATTTGCTATAAGTCAATGGCTGTCCGAACGTACTTGACTACGAATGCATGATGCTAGACTATGATAGGAGGGCGGGCGGAAGATGCGCAATAGCTGTAACGGAATCTCAGTCCTTTAGAACACAGGTGAACAATGTCAGTTTTGAATTTTAAAACATCTCTAGACGTAGTCTCGGGTAATTTGCATCCGAAGCAACGCCTACAAACGGTTTTCAAAGCTCGAATTTAAAAGTTTCTCGGCAGAAGCCCAACAGGCAGCCACAGTGAGAAATCCTCTCTAGGTGGGTCGGGTACAACGGGATGGCGGTTTTGAGGGGAAGAACGGGCGGGGCAAACGGCAAAGGGCACTAAATTGGCAGTTGGAAGCCGAAAAATGTTGAAAATCGAAGGAAAATAAATATTTGTTTTAATGAAGTCAAAAATAGGGGGAGGATGGCGCGCAAATAGGGAAAACCGTAGGCAATCACCAATCGAAGGAGGGCTGGCCGGGGACGTGATGTGATTGGCCGCCGGGGCGAGTAAACCTGAACCGCCAAGCAGCTAACCAATGGGATCATTGGCGCCGCACTTGAAAGTGGTGTGCGTTAGATAGGCACGATGCATACGATGCGTAAAGGCGACGCGGGCGGTCAGCAGTGTACTGCGGTTGGGTAAGAGTATTTGCATGACATGCTTATGGCAATTGCATCACTTCCCGGCCCCTTACTGACCCCCTCCTCAACCCCTCCCTATTTGTTATATCGGTGATCTCCACGGCATGCACCGTTTAATACGCATAACGTGAACAATGTTTAGGATACCTGGACGTACTCCAACGCCACCGCAGCAGCCTACAGCAAGTCGGCAAACTCCCGACCTTGGCGGTCGCTGTTTTACGGGATTTGCAAGTATCCATGGTGAGAACAGCTTGTAGGCCTACGTAACCCTTTTAAGTTTAAATTTATCCGCCGTAACCCAAATTGGGGGACCAGGCGTGGAAGTACAGATAGACGAGACGCTCATAAGTCGCGGCAAATATAACAGGGGACGACCGCGGCCGCAGTTCTGGGTCATATGTGTAAGATACACGCAGACGGAAAGCCCTATTTGAGCAGATTAACAACCGCAGCTGGGAGTCCATGAGGCCCGTCATAAGGAAGTGGGTGGCTGCTGGTAGTGTTATCGTAACCGATGAGTGGAAGGGTTGCACCCGCCTACCGTCCGAAGGTTGTAGGCACTGCACTGTGAACCGCCGTAGGGGCTTCGTGAATCCCAC